GTGACGTATATATGGATGGTTATAAAGATTCGGTCAAATCTCCCAGGTGGTTTACTAGAAGCAGAACTGAGATATCCAAGTTCATAATTTTTAGTCCTGTTTTTTCTCAGTATATGTGCCTCAGAGGCACACAAACTATTTACTGTAAGTAAAGACGACTACGTATGAATTCTATGGACGGTAACGTATTGTATTAGTTGTACATTAGATATTTATAGCGGACGGTTACGTGCATGTACACCTTTCAAGTCAAGGTTGCTAGTTCTGATAGCCTCTGTCCATGTCATTGTTATAATGGGTAAAAATGGAATATTGAATTACTTATATTTGTTTTCAGGACTCGCAAGACGCTCTTGTTTGAGCATCTATAGGGCAAGGAAAAAATTGTGTCTTGCTTTATATATGAAACCAATGAAAGTCAAAAAGATAGCAATGAAGAGGCAAAAGAAGAATTAGCATCAAGTACTGATGAATTTGACAAAATTAATAACAATGAATAGTAGAAAACCTGATGGGTTAATATTTATTGATGAAAATGAGTTAATTCCTCGAGCAAAAGTTTAACCCTAAGGTGTTAGTTTATAATAAAATTGCGTTAGAGAGGATTTCAAACGACATATACGCAATTTTAAAACAACACCGGGATAACTCCACAGACACAAAAAATCTAAATTTAAAATCGGGATGATGGTTGATTGAAATCAAGATGTATCAGTGCAATCACTAGTGAAAATGTACAGATTTTATATTTTATTTTGTTTATCTTGTGTGTATATAATTTTACAAAAAGTATGACGAAATGATTCGGTTCACTTCAAATATTGGACTTTTTGTGACGGTGGTCTTGAGTTTGAAATCTATTGAAAATTGTTTAGAATTCGGATAGATGGCGGAAAAAGTGGTCATATCTTTTTTTCTCAATGGGTTATCTATGCAAATTTTTTTTTGATTTGAAAGGGCACATATGGAGCTATCCCGTGGTATATGGGGTTATGTACCGAAAATCCTCGTTTTTTCATAATCAATCCAAAGATTTCAATATTTTCCCATTGGATTACATTAGAGCATTTATCTGTGGAATTGTCCCACCATGAACACTGTGCACTGATTTTCGGCAACATGATTTCCTAAATACGACAGAAATACGAGCGACTTCTTGATTTCGAATTGTGAACAATTTACAGCAGTAAAAAAACTCCGACCATTTAACTATTTTATTAATATCTTCGGAGAACGAGAATCAAATTGACCCATCTTCACTTTTTGATATGTTTGGATGTTTTCTAAGAGGTCCAGGTACTCAGACCTTCACAATTTAAAGATCTTAATCAGTTCAAAATGTTCGGATTTTTTCTACTTTTGCCGTTCGGTAAATTACAACCGCGTTAAAAGTAAGCATCCCTATTTATCAATACAATTCATTACAACACTGCAAACATCTCCTTCACACGAGCCTTCATTTTTTTTAAATGATCTCTTATATGATATTATGTTGTGCAATCATATAACCATGGAGATTGAAACAGCAGCAAATTAGTGTATCTGTCCATTGACATCAATTGAAATAAAACGAAGCAAATTCTTGTGTCTGGTCATCGACATCGATTGATTAATAAAACAGCGACAATAAATTGTTGCAGCCGCACATGAACATGAAATGAAACAGTAGCAAATTACGGTATCTGCACATCAACATCAATTACAATGATCCGAACATCAATTGGAAAAAGCTAATGATCGCGTTAACATGAATACTTAAGGTACAAAAATGATTAAATGATTGCATGTTATAATGACAGAATAATGATAAATGTCTTGGATTTGGAATTGATTATATTGATATAGTAAAATTAGAAACATGAAGCAAATTCTGGAGACTTGCTTTCATTTCACACGTTGATCGAAAGTAATTTCATAAAATAGTTTGTGCGATTAACTCCCATTTCACTTCTAAGTGAATAAGGTTTGTTTAGGTATGTTGAGTTACGGGGTGAAATATCTAATTTAATGCAAAACATGGGATATGGGATAATGCGATTTACCTCTTTTAACCAAGAAATCTGACGCGTAACTTTCTTATCATGGCTATATCCATATGCAATGTATGTTATACATTTACGTGCTAGTGTTTTTGCAAAAAAAATTCCCTGCATTAAAGGCTAATGGGAATACTTTGTTCGACAGAGAAGTTGATGATAACCACATGTTCGACAGTACATTAGATATCAAGTACAAAGTATCACTTATTTAGAACTGCAATGTTACTACCACAATTATGTCTCACGAATCTTTTAATAGAAATACATAAAAGATTTAAAAGGTTTATCCCCTCAGATCAATTTGACCATAATCACACAAACAGATACTTAAAATACTCTGGCCTGATATCAATACTGGTTGAACTGACTAATTGTTATGGCGTATAATTTAGTAATTACTGTTCATTCTCTCATTAATTTAATCGATTTTTCCTAGAATGATTTTTATACTATTCTCAAAATAGATTTCAATAGAATGTATTTAATGTACCATTGTTATATTTTGGTATCATCGCTATTTAATGGTACCATCGTATTGGTACCATTGTTATTTATCGGTACCATTGTTGTATATTCTAACAGCGTTATCTATTGGAACTATGCGTAACACTAACAGTCCATGTAATATTCATTAGTCATGGTTTTCCACAGATTGCTAAACATTTATTGACTGTCTTATTGCAAGTGCCATATTTCAGAATAGGTTTTGAAAGCAATAATCAATCGACCTGTTGCAATTGAAATTCCAGCTACATTTGTGGCTATTGGGCTATTTTCCATGTACTCGCCAGAGATAGGCCTAGTAGAACACGAAAATTTTACCTACGTTCCCGTGGCAAGTAGAAGATTATACTGTCAAACAAGAATGATATGATGTTCCTATTTATATGCAATGTATGGATGAAAGCAAGGAACTGCTGAGAAAGGTCACGGTATATTCTACTGGAGACTGCCAAATTGCTTTTTCAAGATGGCGGCCTCAAAGTGAACATTATTCTACGATGTACGTCGGTTTAATAGAAAGGCGCAAACGAATTCAGAATGACTATCATAATCACAAATATCGTACCCAAGAGACAAACGCCTTTAACGGCTAATTGCGCTTTATATTCAATTTTGTAGAAAAAGTACCAAGCAAGTCAATATCTTGCGACGAGACAAATTTATAGGTCTTTCAAGAGCTCCGTGGACGCGTTCGGATGGGAAGGTGCTCAGAACTTCGAGCATGTCATCATTTTTCTGACTCCAGTTCCAATGTACCTTCGCTGACAGTCCTAGTACTCATCGCGACTTACGTCTTTAATTATGAGTTATTCCATGAAAATACGTTGAAAATTAAAGAAATGTTTCTGAAGATCTTGCATGTACGTGGCTAAACGTTTACAAAAAATCGCAATACTTTCTTACTAATTTTATACTCGTTTTAGTAGATTTGCGCACAGTGTATTGACGGCTATAAACGAACTCGCAACGCACTTTTGACATCTCATCGCGTCCTTTGATTTTTTAGGATTTCTGCAATTCTATTACTTCGATTTTGATAAAGGGTTTCCGTTTTTTTCAGAAATAAAAAAGGATTGTAAAGCAAATGTTGCTAGCTTTCCGATGAAGTTACTTCCAACATTATGTAAACACCTTAAAATCTTTGATTTCCCTTTAATCAATCGGATCAAATGAAAACTGTAACCACAGAAAAACATCCTCTGGGAGTACTAGTTCCAGTAACACGTACCATTAGACAACCAGAGATTGATTTGCAGTCAGCGTACCAACCGTATTTCTTCATATGTCATCGATAAACACATCTTTGATTATACCACACATGATTTATTACATGTTCCGACCTATTCTGCTTTTCTACAACTAGAGCCACTTATTAACATATTACATTTCATCAGCTGCGTATGTGTGTTTATTACAAGGAATGAAAATTCAATATTTTAGTACGAATGAAATTAGAAAAACGGTTATCGAACCTTCACTAATATTTATATTTCTACAGTTAGTAATCTACTGGCACATTTGATATCCTTGATATTCCATTGCTTTGGCACGCTGATTAAATAACAAATCGTAATTATTTTCTGACTTAATGCAAATGGTAGAATAGTGTACGTAGATATAAATTAACGTGGTATTAATGAAGTGTTATCTCCTTTATTGTATATCTAGTGTTTCCATTAAGGTCTACTTTATCATGTATTATTGCATTTCATACGTGTTTCATCTAATTTAACATAGTCATACCTGGTATATGCTAGAGTGATTAGTAGTACTATGAACGTTGTAAATGGGGTTGTTTCCCACAGGACAAACTTGGCCAATTCACCTAACCTCTGATCCAATTAATACATAGTTATATTTTATTTTTGATTTGGTAGCCGCTGATGAATTGAATCGGGAGACCGTCGATGCTTCGCAGCCGAAATGGCCGAGCGAAATACCAATTTTTCTTTGGGTTTTAGGGTTAAGACTAGGGTTGAATTTTAAGACATCTTCTGTAATGTTGCCCGAATATTGAATCCTTACCTCGTCACGCAATGCCACAAGAGGCTCTGTCACTGTACATGTAATCCTTGGTCTAATGGTATTTCACTTCATTTGTAGCAGTGAAGCTCGATCTTGAAGGATTGTACATGGCCTTATTTAATGAAACCTATACTTACGCAAGCGTAAAAAGGACGTATTTCAATTTAATTCCCTATGGAAATTTTCACCGACCGACGAAAGTCTAATGTCATGGTTTTCAATTTCCCTATTATCGATGTCACAATGCATTATTTACTTAAAAAACATTCCGAGAGAAGTCTAAATCTCCGTCAATCAATAGAGACCACTAAGCAAATATGACGGTGACAAAGATATGTTATGCAAGGAAGCCTATATTTTGTTATTTTCCATATAAAGTTATCTGATTGAATACTGACAATTTACTGATAAAGTAGGGTAACAGTTACTCACGTTTGTTCTGATGTATCCTTGAAAAACGTTATTAATCCAAATGGCCAAAACAGATTCACGTAAACATCATATGTGCGTTGTAGTTGGAAAAACGCATGCTTTTTACGGCATAATTTCAGGTTTTGTGGATACACTTTCAACGGCTCTTGAATATTTTATAGAATGATCGAAAATCCTAAGCAAACTTATTGTTACTTAATCCATCCGTAATTTGTTTAAAGCATGATGGAAATGATTCAGAGTTTAACGTATTAGAAATGCAGTGTTCGTTTCGCTCCCAATTTGCATGTCGTCACTGGAATGCGATGGAAGAACTCTTTAATAAATATCATAGGTTAATCAACCGTACAATTTTCCCTAAAACTGCACAGAACAATCCTTTTAACCTGTTTGATTTAATTCTAGAACACTCTCGAGAAAATCATGAACATGTTTATTCTCATAGTTAAATCCACATGTTTGTTGCAATTGTTGTGTATGATTACTATGCCTTCCACTGCGATTTACGTATGTACGGGCTTATATCATATCATCCCAATAAGCAAGTAGAAAATTACTTGCTCTGAAGCTCCGATGAATATAACTAATGAGCCCAGAGACAAAATGAATGCAGGTAGGGTCGAAGCATATGCTATATATAATGGAGTGATTACTAAGCATATAATTACCTATAGTGAACAGATAATTTTAACAATCTACGCAATATTGGCAATTCACTGGTATTCAATAACCAATTTGCTAAATGGGACAATTTCGATGTTTCAGGATAACTCATAGATAATCATCTTAGCCTCGCATATCTCCCTCTCCCCGATTGAACTTTATATGCTATTACATAAATAATATGTTGCATGGCATAGTAAAAATGTGTCATAGCTGATTATAGATGGGGTAATTATCGATATTACAGAAATGTACAATAGATGTCGCTCTAGTTTTTAGCTCACATGGTGAGCTATTACAATCACTCACTTGTCCGTCTGTCTGTCCGTCTGTCAACATTTGGCCACTTTTAAAAGCTCTGTCAATAGGATTCCTGTTTTAATTATTTTTGTTCAACATCAATAAAGAAAACCCCCACATTACTCCTGGTTCAAAAGCTCGCCTATTTTCAATAGTTTTAGTCTCTACTTTCAGCTCAGTTGGGCACAGATTTAACGAAAACATGGTGCATGAAAGAGGTATCAAAGAACGAAGAAGGGACAACAATATGTTACCGAGAAAAGCTAGGCTAAAAAATATTTCACCGATATTTAAAAATGGAAGAGAAATCTATCTACTGTCGCACTTATCAGAAAACAACCTCTTTCCGCAATGCCAACAGGGCTTCCTACCATGCCGGTCATGTGTAACCAACCTCTTGACGACGCTTGAAAAATGGACTGAATTTCTCTATGGTGGCAGCAAGTACCTAGACTTTAAGAAAGCATTTGACAAAGTTCCCCTGCCCAATGAAGGAAAATTGAAAATCTTGGAATGGGTAAGGGTAATGGAATGGGTGGTTGAAATCCTTCCTCGGAGCAAATACAGGAAATGACCAACTTGACCCCGTGAATCGAACCTCACCAGACAATGCTGAGAATAGAAATCCTCAATTAAGGAAACAACGATATTGTATAGATTAGTTGTTAATTGTGAAGAGGCCAATATGGCAAAGAAAGCATTTAGATGGGATTTAAGCTTAGCCAAATTGAAATGTGATTTTACCTGGAACGAAGAAATCCAGAGCATATGTAAAAGTGTTGACATGCTGAATATGTATGATGATATAAAAAAAATGTAAAGATTTTAAAAAATTTGTGAATCAAATGAAAGGAAAATTAATGAAATTACATGAAACTCAATGGTTGGAGACAATTAGGGAAAAAAGAAAATTGACTTTTTATAAGAGCTTTAAATTATCTTTTCAAGGGTCTGAATATTTATTTTGTAATTTTTTGAGTAGAAAACAAAGATCTGTTTTAGCTAAATTTCGATCTGGCACTTAACCTTTAGAGATTGAAACGGGTAGGTGGCAGAATATACCAAGTCAAGAGAGATATTGTAGGCAATGTAAGAATGAAATAGGTGATGAGTTTCATTTTTTATTCAAGTGTAAAGTTAATCATAAATTAAGAGAGGAAATGTTTTGTAAAGTAAAAGGTATATATGATCTATTTGAGTCTTGTGATAATGAAAAGAAAACAATGTACTTATTGAATTCTAAATCACTCTGTAAATATGTTTCAAATTTTTTGCTTTTGTCTTTGGAGGCTAAAGATAGATTAAAGTAAGTGTTAATTCTGACTTATCTGCTTATAATATGATTGTAATTGTGTCTCATAAGCCTTTGGAGGCTGGCCGTATAATTACGGGTGACACTGTAATAAATAAATAAATAAATAAATAAATATAATATGAAGAAGCATCGTCATGGAAACACGTCACTTCTGGGATCCCACGGGAACTGTTTTAGGACCGGTAATGTTCCTGATATTTGTAAATGACATCCCCCAGACTGTTAACAGACCCTCTTTCGTCTGATAATGTTTGCACTGAGACGATACAAAGCTATTCCGGGAGATGAACACCATAGATGATTGTGACGAGCTACAGGATGACATCCAATTCCTTATAAATTGGACAAATGATTAATGGCAATTTTAATTTAACTGTAAGAAATGTAAGGTCCTAAGAATTGGTAAATCCTCTTGCAGTTATACCATGGGTAATGCAGTAGGCTACTTCAGGAACCAGAGTGTGAAATAACTTGGGAATGGGTGTCGAATGACATAAAGAAGAACATCCATATACCGTACATATGGTGATAAAAAAGGCCAACCAAATCCTTGGTCTTATGCGAAGAACCTTCCAGGTTTTGGATCCTTCAAACATGATGCTGCTATAAGGCCATGGTCAGACCTCACTTGAAATATGCTAACACTGTATGGTCACCATATCTATAGGACATTGAATCTGTTGAAGCAGTCCAGAGGGGGGCAACGAGAGGCATACCAAGATTCCAAGATGCAGTCCCAAAGACTTATGGACCTAAAGCTACCATCACTTGTGTTCAGGCGCTTGAAAGGGGATATAATTGAAGCTGGGAAAATCCTAATGAAAAATATGACATCCCAATTCAGGCGCGTAATTTAACTAGGCGCGGGGGTACGCAGTCGCGTACCCTAAGTGATGGAGTAGTGCCCCATTACACAATCTGAAATCGCTCAGAACGCACCATTTAAGGTCTAAAATTAAAAAAATTCCGGTCGGGCCTGCCCCAGGGCCGCCTAGTTTAGCTAGGTTTTCGGCCTCGTGTACCTGCTATCAGTCCTGGTTACACCGCTGCATTAGCAGTGTATGCTACCTCTCGGCACACAATATAGGGAGGACAGAGGCAACAATAAGCCCCCCCCCCCAATAAGAGAATCTTGAAGAAACAGATTAATTCTAAGACACGGGGATTCTTTACCCAGGAACAAGCTACGAGGCAGACTATGGAGTGACCACCCAGCCAAGTACAACTATAGAGCCCTGAAGTAGACACAAGTCAAATAATTGGGGAGACCTATAACTATAACTAACAATGTCCGTCATGTTGTGGATGCCTCGAAGGCATTTCTTGAAAACGCGGCCTGAAATAGTAGGAACATGTTGAAACGCGCTTTGGTCGCAGAAATTGTGTATACTGCTGTTCGGATTTATACTGCAATAATTAGGGTTAGGGGAATCCCCACTCGTATTTGGATTTAAAAAGTTGAAAAAAAAAAATTTTGTAATTTATTTTAGGCTTTATACATCCTGTAACCATGCATAGTCTTCAAACCTGATGCTAAATGTAAAGTAAGTCTTTATTCTACTATATTTATTCTATACTATATTGGAAACAGGGTCTTTGCGGCCCAGGGATAAATTAATACTTTTACTTCCTCATTCGTGACTTCGTCGACGTCTTTTTTTAGATCTAATTAAAATGCATTGTTGTACGTTGTATTCACTATTCAGGAAGAACATGCTTGTCTCCTTAGTCTAGCAGTATTATTGAGAATAGATTCAGTGCTAATTACTGTAGGGGAGGATGGATCCGGGTGATTGATATTGATTTCTGCTATGGTGCATCATGGGCTTTCAACTAGAAGGGTATGCAACTCTATGTAATAACATGAGACCTTCAAAATGAACAATGACATGCTTCCCTTTTATGGCAATATTTCAAAAAGTATTAGATAAATGTATATGTTTTAGTATTATTTTGAATAAAAATCAATTTTTAATATGATTTAAGGACAGGGTGCATGTTGGGAAATTTTCTGCATTCCTCAATTGAGTCACATGTTATTTTTCAAACATGAATAACTCCTTCCCCACATTGTCTACATCTTCCAAGTTTGCACAAAGAGTGCACTTCTGTGCCTAGAAAAGCCTTGTGAGAAGGTTTGTTTTGTAAAATGTATAAAAAATGAGAAAATTCAGTGAAAAAAATTTCTGAAAATTTTCTGATTTTTTTCACTGAATTTTTTTTATACACTTTATCAAAACATTCTTCTCACAAGTCTTTTCTAGGCACATAAGTGCACTCTTTGTGCAAAACTGGAAGATATAGACAATGAAGGGAAGGAGTGATTCTTGTTTGAAAAATAACATGTGACTCAATTGAGGAATGCAGAAAATTTCCCATCATGCACCCTGACCTTAAGCATAAAATATATTCAATATCATATAAAAGTAAACAAAAGAGACCAATAAGAATAAGAGTTATCAAGATGTTCTCTTTGAGTATTGCATTGTGGGTAATTATTCAAGAACACATTCCAATGAAAACATAATTTGTGGGAGAATGTTCACTTTCTGTATTGTCATAATTATGATGAATTCCAAATTTTATTAAATTATCAAGATGTATGTCTTTTAATCATCAATAAAAAGTACAAAATAAGATTTTCTTGGAATGTGTACATTCTCCAATTTTGAAAACCCATGGCAATGTTTATGTATGAAATATGGGAAGTTGCCTACCCTTCTAGTTGAAAGCCCATGGGTGCATGTTGGAATTTTTTGCAATCTTGAAAAGTAGTAAACCACTGAATATTCTAGATGTTCAAACATTCTGAAAAATTATCAACTCTCAATTAATAGTCTACACTAATGCATCTTTTGTGCAAGAATGAAAGATGTAGGTGATGTGTGGAATGAGTTATGTTTATCTGAAAATACATGTACTGTAGCACATGGTCATGAAATTTCATCGAAGTGCACCCTGACCTTAATTTCCCCCACTACAGTAATGACGTCTAACCTTACAATTACATGATAAAGAGTGCATATCACAAGAACCCGTATCAACTGAGGTTCCTGTGAAACCAAAACCCATTGGTCTGCAGGGTTCTCACCAGGAAATTTTTAGAACCCGGAAAAAAATTCAACGTTCGCGCCCCACCACCCCCCCCCCCCCCCCCCCCCCCCCGTGAAACATGAAATGATATATGCATTTTTCTGAATATTGGTTATGGTTGGAATGAAATACTCTCCCAACCAAAAGTTCAAAATCTTGCCATATTTGGACCAAAATTGAACCCCCCCCCCCCGTGGATTTTAAAAAAGTGACCCCCCTTCTTGACCAGGTCACGTGGTATACCAGTATATGTAACACTGGGCCAGCAGAGGTTGCAAAATTGCATCCAAAAAGAGTATGTTTATTACTCAAAAGTAAACAGAATCAGCTTCAGAAGATCTTAAAATAGAAAGAAAAATTGCTGTTTTTATGAGAGTATAAACATTATCACTTCTGTACCAGACCATGTGGTTCAATATTTACATCCTAACTTCTGATCATGTGATGAGTCATGTGATGAGATCAAGTTATAAATTGACCAATCATGTTGTCATAAACATTCAAATTTAAATTTCCCACTAAACACATTCCTAAATGAAGCTAATATAGTGGCTGTTTCGTTTAAGAGGTTCCTCCCCGTGATTTAATTATTTAAATCTACATGATAAAATGGAATTGCCAAATTTTATCGGAGGGAGTATGTTTATTGGATTCAATTACTACTATTTTCTCAATAGATGTCTCCCTTCATACCACATGAAGGAAACAAAAATGTCTTGATGATACGATGATTTCAATTGAAAATCACCTGTTTTTAAGACCTTATATTGGAAAATTAGAATCTGTACGGTAAGTGAACACTTTATTATATGTTTTGAGAAGTTGTAACTCAAAAACTGAAGTTAAAGAGGATAAAAAGTGGCATTGAAAAAAAAATCCCAAAAAATTAGAGACCGGCGGCATTCATTTTTAGCATTAGACACTGGCGCTATCAGGTCTGAACATGAGAGAGAACGGCGGGGCGCCGGACTCTAAAAGCCTGGCGAGATCCCTGGTCTGTATCCCAGTGGTCCAAATCTCATTGGTCTGAATCATACCTGTAATGGTTCGAATCCCATTCGTCTGAATCCAAATGGTCCAAGTACAATTTGTTTGAATCCCAATCATCTTAATCCTATTGGTTGGAATCCTGCTTAGTAACAAATAATTTTATTATCAAGTTACATATAAAGATGCATACAGTTGTATGCTGTAAGGGATTTCTGAACGTTAAATAGAATATCACATTGATGTGTGATTATTGAATGAAGTCAATTCCATGTTCAACTGCTTAGCCATGTTTATGGTAACATTATGTCAAGCATTTTTTCTGGCTTTATTTCTGATTTGGGTTCAACTGAAAATCTACTCGTTTGCTTGTAAAACTGATTCTTTAAGAACATTTAAACAATTATTATCCAATGTACTAAAGCCTCATTTTCGTGTTTGTCGTAACCCTTCACATATCTGCAAAGAGAAACCCCATTCGGAGAGATTTGGTCAACAAAATTTAATGAAGGTTTAAGATACATGTATGTTGTTTTTGTCTGTGTCAGTAATCTGCAAAAGGCTAATAAGACCACTTGAGATACCTGTATTTAATTTCACAGTGGTAGAATTTGAATAGAATATAATTTAAAAACTTTATAACATTTAGAAATAGGTCTATGGTTTGGTTTTAACTTATTTAAAAATTGGATTGATGAGATACACTGGTGGTGACTTTCAGGCTAGCCCGTTGACATTGTAACTGTTTACCAGGAGGCTATGTTGCTGTGCACTGGGAAAGGGAACCCTTACATTAGGGTGGCTCAAAATAATTTTTTTTTGGAAATGTTATGCTCCCTACGTGAATCGAGTTGCAGTTTGGGGTCAATATCACCTGTGATTTTTTTTCAAATTTTTTAGTCAACTTTTAGGGGTCCCCCAAAGCCTTTGAAGTTTGCCCATAGGCTTAACATTAGTGGGCGTCGCCCAAAATTGTACTTTGTAGAAGTTTTCTTCTAGAGTGATTTATATATGTTGTTTGAAGAAAAACAACATTGTATATGATATGATTAGATGTTTAAATCATCATATTACTCTGTTTCATCATGTGAACTTATATAAAAGGTTATACTTACAATAAAACAAAATATTAGGTACATTCGACCAGTATAATTATTTGAACAAGTACAGTTTGAGAGATTCATGTCTCATATATGATTTGGTATTGTCATTATAATGGTTTAAACTGTAAAAGGTACATGTATATTCATTCTTGACATTTAATTGGTTCAAATCAGATTTTCTTATATGTGACACTCTGATCTGAGCGTACAAGACATACATTGTCACGATGCGCCACATCACAGGACATTTGAGATATTCCTGCAGATGATACCAGAACTTGAGACCGTGAAGAGGTGCTGTGGTCACTTGTGTGGGCACTTAGGAAATACCATCCGTAGAGACAGACCACAAATCCCACAAGTTGTGTTATCCTCTGCAGTTGCTGTGGAGTAAGTTGGACAAATAAGTGGCTGAGCATGAACATCTTCAAGAGGTAGAGAATCTTCCCCATGAACCTGGCATAGTGGTAGGCTCCAGGTTGGTCGCAGCTCTTCGCAGTGTAAGACAGAGCAAGAGAGGAGAAGCAGGAGCTTGCTACAGCACTGCTCAACATCCCGCGGCCTGTCCAATTTGCAACTGGCAAACCAGGACAGCCTGACTTCAACCCAGTTGCTGCTCACTTAGGCAATGTTAAACCATCACTAGCAATGTTTGTAATTGAGAGATCTTGGCTCTTATCGTGACAATGTATGTGTTGTACGCTCAGAGCATTATGTTCAAACCCAGAATTTCTGTCAAGACCTTCATTCTGTTAATGATCCAGCTGAACGAGCAGTGAAGCTGGTACAGAAATGCTCTCAAATGACCCGTGACGCGGCGCATCGTGACAATGTATGTGTTGTACGCTCAGATCATAGAGGAAGAGTGTCACATGTAAGAAAATCTGATCTGAACCATGTTTAAAACATTAAATGTCAAGAATGAATATACCTTTTACAGTTTAAACCATTATAATGACAATACCAAATCATATATGAGACATGATTCTCTAAAACTGTATGTTCAAATGATTGTACTGGTCGAATGTACCTGATATTTTGTAAATAGGATATTATAAGTATAACCTTTTATATAAGTTCACATGATAAAACAGAGTAATATGATGATTTAAACATCTAATCATATCATATACAATGTTGTTTTTCTTCAAACAACATAAATAAATCACTCTAGAAGAAAACTTCTACAAAGTACGATTTTGGGCGACGCCCACTAATGTTAAACCTATGGGCAAACTTCAAAGTCTGTGGGGGACCCCTAAAAGTTGACTAAAAAATTTGAAAAAAATCACAGGTGATATTTACCCCAAAATGCAACTCGATTCATGTAGGGAGCATAACATTTCCCAAAAAAAATTATTTTGAGCCGTTGAGCTGAAACATTATGCATTTGTCTTTCTATCATGATATTCCCTGTGTTATACACTTATTCCCGATTGTTAATTTTCGGATTGTTAGGTTTCAGACAAATTGGATTTGGACCAATGGGATTCAGGCAATTGGGATTCAGACTGTCGGGATAAAGACCAATGGGTTGGGATTCGGACCAATTGTGTGTTCTTATTCAAAAATAGAGCAAATATTTGGCCAAGTATTTCATGTAGATCAATGAACATTGTATGTCGATATATACAGCACAGTTCACCCCCCCCCCCCGTTCCACTGCCACAAATGCATTGTTGGAATCTATCCTTTGTTGCTTAAATTTATCAGTGAATAATTTAAAAAGAAGGTCGAGGTACATGTATTACACAGGTGCAAAAATCCTTCGTTACAAAGCTTATTGTCAAACAGCCTCGCTTGTTTTAGTGTACGAGAGTCTAAATTTCCAGTTTTTGGAGTTATGCAAGGTTAAGTCCCCCTCTCTAAAATCTATTGATGTAACCAATCTGAAGTTGAAATTCTTACAATTACATTTTTACTTGTTTTTCAGAAATATGGCATGTCTCAAAATGTGAAGTAGGTATACTGGTGGTAGAGGAAATCCAGCGGAGAAGCCACCAGTATACAGTATACATAGAAACATAAATTACAGACACATTGAGCATTGATTACGATATGAATCAACAACAATAGGTCAATAACAAAACACTGACACGCCTAGAACACAGACCAACCCTGGATACTGGTGTACAGAAAGACTGATCCCAGGAAAGAGGGAATGAATAACATGATGAGAAAATCATGGATGGGTATAGTGTTTGTTATAATGGTAGTGGCCACAACATATTGCAATGCTGTAGTTGACAAGTTAAACAAAGTTCTAAGTTCCCCAAGGCCCCCACATGGACTGACACCTAGTAGCCCACTGATAGAGTTTGTGAGTATAATGCACATCAAGTTGTATTTTATGTTTATTTAGACTGCATCTAGTGACTGATTGGTTCACTAAACTGTCATCCACAAAAAATTGGAGACAATAGAGAGATTTCGCACCTAGTGAAAGTACAACTTATAACTTATACTTATACTTATAGGTAAACGTACAAGGTGTTTCATAATGTGAGCTTTTCGTCAGGAAAGATCTTCTCGGACTGTAATAAATACAGGTCAAAGGGATGCCATTTGTACTTTCCTGAATTGTAGCATGTTTAGTTGATCCAACTGTGTTTGTCTAGAATAAAATAGGCTCATATATAGTACATATGTTATAGACCCATCTCTTCTCAAATTGACTTTTTGGAGATGCTCGTTATGAAACACCCTGTATACGGTCATATGTTGAGCTACTGAATGGGTCGTTTCCAGGAATTGCTAGAACCTTCTGGTTTGATTGGTGTTTCAAATTGATGGTTAAATTATTTGATTGGATACTGTTCCCACTCAGCCAATTAATTTTAAAAAATGCTCGCGGTCAATTGTTCCACACACATGTAGGCAAATCTTTATACGGAGATCCAACTGTATACGTTACCATCTACGTAAATATGCCATTTTGTAAGTTCATTGAACTTATACTGATCATGAAAACATTGAAATAATCAACTTGTTTATGTAATGACTCACTTTAAAGAATCATGACTCCCTTTAAAGGATCGTGTTTATAATACACTACAACTACAAGGACACGGAAGCAAGCATTTAATTATAATGTGCATAATCTACACGTGCAAATGACAGTGCATTCATAGTCTCTCGTTGATGGATCTTTTCTATAACGGAATTAGTTATGTTCCATTAAGTACAATTTAAATTTAATTTTAGTAAATATAATAGTTCGACATGACCCTTCAGGCCCGTAGCCAGGGGGGGGGTTCACATGGTTCGGGCGAACCCCCCCCCCCCCCCCCTTGGCCAAAAATTCTTTCAAAATCATGCAGTTTTTCACCATTTTGAGCACTTTATAAGTGATTTTGGCCCTTTTTGGACCAAATTTGTCAAAAGTGAACCCCCCCTGGAATTTTCCAAAAAGTGAACCCCCCTTGGCAAATCCTGGCTACGGGCCTGCCCTTTAAACTATACGTATACGTATAAGTTGTACTTTCACTTATGTGCGAAATCTCTCTAATAACAATATGTCATCACTTATAGTGTTGAAATATTGACAGTTGATGTCACATTATTTATGTTTATTTAGAATGTGTCTAATGACTAGAGATCCCCTCTGGTGTAGTGTCTCCAACTAGAATTTTCAATTTGGTAGTCAGGGAAATGACCATCAATGTATCTCGATATAGACCATTCAGCCGAGACAATACTGCCATCTATATTATCCATCTCCATCCATCCCCCATGTACATGTACCTGTAACTAATCTATCAAGATCAAAAAATATAAAAATTGCCAGGGTAAAATTCACAAAGGTACATGTTGAGAAAAAGTTAACTAAGTTCACATGCGCAGTATTTGTATATAATGTTGACTAGAAAGAGGTTAGTACATTCTAAGAATAGTTTGAGTTGTTTATCATGCAGAATTGAAAGATACAGGAATTCCCCTTTTCATGTAAATGATTCACATTTGAAAGAAAGTAGTTTACATTTGCCTGACTACACAGTCGTATAGTATTCAGCATGTACGTGTATGTGTATGTTTAAATGTTTATTTTCAGGAAAAACATGGGTATAAGGGATGCGGGTATGATAATTGGTAAGTTGGTTTGTTTGATTGTTTATCACCATTGGAATAATTAACAGAAACAAAATGGTTCTTAATACTAGTACAGTCATTTTTCTTTATCAATTTGTGTAACCATGTTGTTGAACATACTGTATAGAAATAAATAATAACTTTGATCTAATTCTGTTATATTATTTAAATCATTTTCCACGACTTTTTTCCACTTTTCTAAAAAAGTGTTAGGCCAAATCTCAACTGATGCAATGTTAAAATTCTTCAAAACCTTGGTTTCATCATTCATCAGCTGAAATGTTTATGATTACTCACAATATGTACATTAACAGGGTAATCCCATTGTATGCCACTGGAGTTTTAGATAGATTCAACCAACACTTTTTGATAAGAGCGACAAGTACAAGCTTTTACATTGAAGCCTATGGAAGTCTGGCAAAAAAAAATATATATATATGGTATCAGATTCATACAATAGTATGTTTTTGTTTCATTTCAAGTGTTTTAAATTTATTGCATATTTTTAAATAACATCAATCTAGAAAATCTGTCTTTTGAAACATTGACTTTTAACCCTTAAACTTGTGTACAATTTCAGGTGTTACATTGATGATGAGGGGGAAGGGCACTATTGTATGACCTGCCCAGAGTTCATCATCCAAGATGGCTGTTCTGGGGAATGCTGTCGTAAAAACAGAGGCGTACAAGAGGGTAAATTTCAGTGCGCTAGTACAGATCGTGATGTAAAGCGTCCAGGTAAGATTTATATAGTTCAGGTGGTTCAGTTTGCATTCGCTGAAAGTTGTAATGGGGATGTGTCCTGCATTTAACTACAATGGCAATAGAAATTCGTAACAAAATACAAAATCGTAAACAGTTAATCCACTGTTTTACATTCTTTTATCAGATTTTTCTTTCACTGATAGCAGAACCATGTGATAGGCGATGAATGATAGCCTAATTCATTTAATATTAGAAAATGTCTAGGTGTATATACAGGATGTCCCTAAAAAGGCCCTGCGTTTTTTGGTCACCCTGTATGTAAGTCATTTCTACTACTCATGTCTCATTTTACACATCTTTCCAGAATGTCCAAAGATTGAGATTCCAGACAGTAAAATAACCTGTCACCCTGACAATCGCATAATGTGGATTCAAACAGAGTGCCTCGTAGAATGCCTCAACACGCCTGTACACAAATACTATACATGTGCCCGAAGTGGCGCATACCTTCAGTGGGTTCCAGAGTTGTCTCAGGAGCTCTGCAGAGGTAAATGGGCTACAATCAGTATATCACTCTATTGAATATATCACAAATCATTAGCAGCATGGGATTGTACCTCCTTTAAGATGATTTTTCAATTTTAGAAACCCCTAATTGGTCTAGTTCTTACATGTGATAGCGGATTCAAATCTCATTACAGTCAAATATATTTTTATTTGATTTCTCAGTTATTTGGAGCACTTCACTTTCTCGATGTTTTTATGTATGATAACATGTTAGATCGGTTACTTTCATAGGTTATAAAATATAAATGATTAGTGAGAAAATTCTACATCTGAAAAATAGGAAATACTTTAAGCATAGGAAATTACTTGAAGCAAATTGTTACAAATCATATTTTCAGTTGAGGGAACTACTCATACTGCCATTGATACAACTACTCAAACTGCCATTGATACAACTACAATCAAAATTGCTGACACAACAACACCTGAGTTTGAATCAAGTCAGACTCTGTATGATATAGTTAATGCTTCAGACAAAATGTATAATCTCTCACAAAGCACAGGAACTATTGGTAAATATTAATTTGATACATGTACTGTATTCTCTCTAATGAGTGCACAGTTCCAATGAGCACACATGCAACTTTTATGTTGAATGTGGTCCTAAGAAAAATATCAATATCTCAAAATCCTTTTGAATTTCAATTTGGAAACTGTACTGTGCACTCATTAAAGAGAATACAGTTTGATAGAAAATATTTCTAAAAATGACTAGGACAGCATATATGGCAAGTACACATTGATGGAAGGATTTATCATAGATCACTATTAAAGGAACTAGAAGGGACATCATATTTTTTGCTTTCATCATTCCATGGCATTCCTGTAACAGTATTCCTAAAAGTCTATGACTGGATGTCTCCCTCCAAAAATTTAATTTCAGGAAATAAAGTTATGATTGTTAGAAAAACATTTGCACAATTACATTTGCACTCTCTCAATTCCTTCTTATTGCCTTAAAACTGAGTTAAAATCATGAAACAAATGTCCATGGGACATAAAGGAAAGTAGCATAAATTGGTTTTTCATATCCTCCTGTCTCTTAGTTAATGCTGAATTTTGATATAAATCACTTGTATTTACGACGAAGTCTAACAAAGTTTCGTATCAGTAACCACAAATTAAAAATAGAAACGGGTAGATACAAATACCCAAAATTAAAGATTGATGAAAGAATTTGCGAGTTTTGCAATTTAATAGAAAAGAAAAACATATAATGCTCTCATGTAAAAAATACATTATATATAGAAAGCAAATGCTCGATAACTTGAATCACACGGCAATCCAATTAAACACCTTTTCAACATGGAGGACGATTACATTTTTTCCAATATTGTATGTCTTGTGAAAATAAAGAAATTGAAATTGTAGCAGAATTTATTCATAAATGTAATATAACATAGAAGGGTGTGATATATAACATAAACAATGGACGCGTATCACAACCACCATTCATGTACTCATCCATGATACATATTTATTTGTTCATTTATTTACTTATTTATTTATTATGAAGTATTAATTGTGTGTGTTGTTATATTATACTGTTTTCTGTTGTATTGATATATTGTAAAATTAGTGTTTACTTTATGTACACTTAACCCTTTATCACAATAAAGTGTAATAAAGTTCACAAATCTAAATCTAAAGCTTGTACTATCTGTCATGGATATTACTGGAAAACTAATTTTGTTTCGCTGTGAATTATTTTATTAATACTTACATTACTACAAATGCTGTTAATCCTTGTAATTTCAACAATCCTGGACAAACATGTAGTGGACCTTTCTTACCCACTAAAATGTTTCTTTTAATTTTTAAGATGAAGCAAAGAACAAATACTTAGGACCTGTGGTTGGGGTGGTAGCCGGTGTGGTTTTCATGGGACTTATCTTTCTTTGTTTCTGTCTAATTCGAAAATGTTTGAGAGATCCCAAATGGAAACCTTTAAAGAATCGCTTCATCAGATGCAAACCTAAAGAAGAAAATCCAGGTATTTTATCATTTTAACAATGCTTGAGCAATTGAACTATTTTGAAAAGCAAAATTAGATTTAGTAAATCTACATAAAAACATAGTCAAATAGGCAATATCACCAAAATAACAAATGATCATGTTATTATAGATTATTACAGATTTGAAAAGTTCTCATATTGCCATACTGTACTTCATGTATTCCATAAACCCATTAAGGAGAATCATATCTATCTGAAAAAGGTGCTGAAGAAGTTCCCCTAAATGGTCAGGAATTCGAAGAGGTTGAGGAGAAACCTCGACATGTAGAAAACAGCAAAGCAAATGCTGTAAGCAATGACCCAAAAACTGAAGAACACAATCTAAATCTAGGAAAGACTGCATGTGAGAAAGAAGGTATTTTGAGTTTGCTGTCCATTTTTCTAATATAATTCTTACTGTCAGTTCTTATTATCCAATTTTTATGTCACCACCCAAAAGTAGTGACATATTGTTATGGTTTCTGTTTTTGTGACGATGGTTGACGATCGGCAGTTGGCGATCAGCTGGTGGCAGTTGGCATCTGTAACAAATTCTTAAAGTCCCCATCTAAAGTTTGAAAATATTTTTTTATCATTCATTTACTATTTGTCAGGACTTAAAAAGTGATTTTAGAGAGTTTTGAACGAAAAAAAAATTTTGAAAAAAAAGTTGTGAACATTTCATTTCTCAAATATTCAAATTTCCCGCCATTTTTCAAAAAAAGTTGAAATTTCTTAATCATCAAATATTTCTTAATGCATTTCAAAAAATATTATCTTTTTAACACCAATGCAAAGGTTGAACAAAGGACACACTATTTCAATAATAAAATGCCATATTTAATGGGCCATTTTAATGTTTTAGCATATCAAAAATATTTTGAAACATTAGTGATGTCACTAAGGTACAAAAACTTTTTGAAAAAAATTGAAATTTTTTTTTCGATGTCAATCTTTTCTAAATATGTTAGACTTTCATAAAAAAACAATGTTGATTGTCTAACCAGGTTAAAAGGAAAAATAAATTATGTTTTAGATATCATTGTACCATTGGTTTCTATGAGAACTAAAATTTTGAAATGCATTTTATTCAGAACAATTTTCATGCACTGATAAGTTCATTTCTTGCTTATTTATGAACCGATTTTCTTAATTTTTTCGGCAAAAAACACGGGAGGATGAATGCTATGCATTGGTATGAATTGTGGCTAATTAGAAGATATGAGTGACCTCTAAAAGTTGGTTTTAAATAAATTCACAAATTTTGGAACAAAAAGTCTATCAAAAACCACTTTTTGAAATTTAAAAAAAAAGTTTCACATATCACACTTTGATAACATTAGGTAACACTACAATTTAAGCCAAAGTGGTTTAAACTTTATATGGGGCCTTTAAAACTTCCAGTAACTTAACAAATACTGTTTAGACAACTCTACTGACTTCAGTTTTTTTCAAAATCATCTTCAAGTTTTCAGAAGTTCAACTCTGACCTTATATTTAAGATTTGACCTTCAGTGACCTTCTCAAGGTAAAAAAAGGTCAAAAAGGTATTTTTTCAACTTGCTTAAAATTGACCATTAATTTATTTTTCTCGAAAAGTTCTCGAAAGATCAAATCTGATAATAGATTTGACTTTCAATTACATTCACAAGGTCAAAAAAATAGTTGACCTTCAATGACCTTCTCAAGGTCAAAAAGGTATTTTTTCAGCTTGCTTCAAATTGATCAATTATTTTTTAAATCATCTACAAGTTATCAGAAGTTCAAATCTGACTTTAGATTTGATATTTCACCTTCAGTGACCTTCTCATGGTCAAAAAAGGTATTTTTTCAAATCGCTTCAAATTGACCAATTTCTTTATGCAAAATCATCTACAAGTTCTCAGAAATTCCTATGTGACTTAATTGAACTAATAATATTGTGAGCAATTAGGTGGTGACATTTTGTCATGTTAATGCATTGTCCAATTCTTACTGTCCAATCTTCAAATTCTTCTTATTCAATCTTTCAGTTTGTATTGTCCAATCTTGAAATTCTTATTCAATAGACTAGAAGCGAGAAGAAATAATCTTGATTTACGTCATAAAAAATTCAGTCAAACTGATGTCATATTTGGAATTTACATGTAAAATTACATTTAGAAATGTGGTTTGGAAAAGAGTAATTATCAACTTTGAAAATTAAATTTTCTTTGAAAATGTGACTTCTAGGTTGGGGAGATTCCCCATAGACCCCATGTTGTAAAATCACAAAAGTGAAAGGCCTCCTCTGGTGTTGGTAGATAATATTTTCTTTTACTGGACATCTTTTAACTTGTATCTATCAGAAACATAAGGGTAATATGAAAAGTGAATCACTAAAACTGATGAATATTCAAGATTAAGGGAATTTTGTAATACCCCGCCATGTTATTTTCCCCGAATCAGCCACCTGGTGGCGAAACTGGTAACTACCTACTCGCATCTGAGTAATTGTCCAATCATCAAATTTGTATTGTCAAATCTTCCAATTCTTATTTTTAGTACCTCAGCTGAGATACTGTTGACAGCTTCTTTTGAAAAAAATTGAAAAAAAAATTGAAAAAGATTTTGAAATAAAAGGATTAGTATTGAAATAGGGAACTGAATTTAACATTGTTTTTCTCTCAAACCAATTGTTGAAAACATTCTGTAAAAAACACTGTCATTTATGTAATGGTCACTGATTGACAACAATTTAATGCAAAAATTATTTATATATATTTTATTTAACTGTTTTTGTGAACAAGTTTTTTTTTTATAGTGCAATTGTTTTTTTTGTTCCTTTCTACCAATTCTTCAGAATGAAATAAAAGATCTCTATTGGAACAAAATAGCATATACAACATTTTCTTAGACCTCTCAATATTGTAGTTAAACAAAGGAAAGTTTGGTTCATTTAACAAAACGTATTCAAAAAATTAAACCAAAAAAAACAAAAATAGTTAAAAATTGGAAGTGAACCTTTTATTTCAAGATAGCTTTTTGAATGCACCAAACTTTCCTTTGTACAATTTCAATATTGAGAGACCTAAACACAATGTGTATATGTCGTTTTGTTCCAATGAGGTTCAGAGAGATGTTTCATTTCATTCCAAACATATGACATAAAGAACAAAAGAAGTGTCTGATGTGTTTTCTAAAAAAAATATACGTAGAGAAAAGTATATTTTTTCAAATTAAATTGTTACCATTCAAAAGATGACCATTAAATTGATGATGTGTAAAATTTTCAGAATTTTACCTGTTATTTACCTATATCACTATTAAGTATTGGATAAGAACCTATATAACACTGGGGCAAATTATGAAAGTATGATTGTGAAAAGCCTGCACATACAAAGGTGAATTCCATGCCAATTAATAAGTATAAGAGATCGACTTGTCAAAAAGTTCTGGCTTTTCAAAATGCAACATTTCCTGTGTTAAAATGTGTTTTATTTATTTTAGATACTGAGGATAAAGATGTACACAGGTTTACTCCTGTAGCTGTAGGACCTAAAAGTACAGATGATAATGATTACAGTCTGTCTTCTTTAAACCTTGGACCAAACAAGAAGGATGATTATCCAATTAAAATAATGCCTGAACTTTCTGCTAGTGAAAATACTTTTGAGTTTATTGAAAGTAAACGTGAATCTGAAGAACTTGAAGCATTGATAGGACCAAAAGAAACACCAAATAAACCCTCGATCTCTGCACCTGATTCAAGTTCTCCCATACCACAGATTTCCCCTGCAGGATTATCTTCCATAGATAGTGTACTATTTAAGTATCCTAAAGATGCAAATCCTCATGCAGGAGGTGATCATATCGTTGGTGTGATCGATGAACCAAAGAGTGATGGTAATATGAAGGCTGTTCCAGAGCTATGTCCCTCTCCATCGTATGACTTTAGCGAACCAGGTATGCAAGCAGCTGGTGGGTATGTTGTAGAGAGTAATTCAATGGGAATCGATTTAGTACCTGTACGTGAAGAAGGAAAACCTAAGGAGAATTATGGAGGAGCCATAAAATATGACGAACCACAAGCCAAGGATCCCAACGAGCATCTCAAAACATGTAAGTTTAGAGACAACCAATGCAGGTGCTTCAACTCTAATGAATCTCTTGGTTTGAGTATATTCAATTAACAGTCAACACCTTGTGTTTAACATTAAAGGTGCAGTAGCCACTCGAAAAGGTAGATTGCTGTTGTTTAATATGATCATTTTTCAGTTTCTATGCTAATTCTTGCATTTTCTTGTTAGTACATCCTGATACAATTACATGAATTGTGAAAAAGACAAAATTGAAACTTGAAAGTAAATCCCTATAAAATGATCAACTTATTTATAATGTGTTGATAATAGAAAATCAAAATGGATTCATATATCCATGACTTTATTTTTTACAGGGGTTGAAAAATTGAGAAAGAATGATGTATTACTAGACGATATGTGGCAGATGTTGGAGTTCCAAAAATTTCTTCAAGTCATATTGGATCCAGGGGATGAATGGATTTCATTGGAATATGAATGTCCCGTTAAACCTATTGATATTGAACATGGCATTTCTATGAATGACTACATTGAATATGCAAAGTATGTAGCAACTACATGTATAGTGTAGAAACCCAATAGTATTTTAGGCCTCTGAAATTTTCAATCTGTCTGGTGTTTTGACAATTTTTATCCTTGTCATTCAAATGATTTGTAGAACAAAAATTAATTATATTTTTTTTATTAAAATATTTTATTATAGTGTCACTAGTGTTAAAAGTATACATACAATGTCAAATACAAAGTAAACTAAAACACTACCAGCCGGTGTCGGCTTATGAGACACTTCCTTCTACAATCTGGAACAATGTCCATTAAATAAATATACTATAATATACAATTATTGCACTGTTCAAATATAATATCAGCATGTTTTGGGAGTAAGCATTTTAAGTTGACTAGAATAAATATCTGTTGAGCAGTTGTTTTGATCATTTCAGACCCTCTCAATATTGAATTTCCTTTTTTGCCACATTTTAAATAGAGTTGAAGACAATAAATTTTGGATGTTTTTGTCATGCATAAGACTGATCAGTGTACCCAGGCCATCATTTGAGTTAATGTTTATATGGGGGGCTGTTACTTTAACATTGTCATAAAACTCTTTCCTTATGTCCTTATAATGTTCACATTGAGTCAAAAAGTGTATCTCATCCTCAATACAATCATTATCACAGAGAATACATTTTCGTTCTTGCAGCGGTGTATTGTTCCATCTACCTGTCTCTATATTTAAGTGGAGACTTCCTGTTCGGAACTGAGCAAGTATTCTCCTGTGTTGTCTGGGCATTCTGTTTTTTAAGTACTGTTCAGTCACCACACCATATTTAAATTGACGGAATGTCCTAAGTTTGTTTCCATTTGCTTCATTATTTTTGTCATCCCATATGTTGGTTAGGAATGTGTCATTTTGATTCAGGTAATGTTTCAGTGTATTAAGAGCAAGTTTGGTTGAGACGTTTGTGGCATTTGTTATTGGGACTCCTCCTTTAACTAATAACTGCTGTGTTTTATAGTCCCAGCTAGACTTTCTCTTTGCAGACCATAAATGTATTTTGTGATTTGTCCTGGTTCTATCCATATTGTGAAGCCTCAAGTATAGTCTAGCACACTCAATATGTTGCTTATCGAGGAGAGATGACCAACCTAGGTCTCCCCTTACTGCCTCATTGCTTGTTTTTCGGCTCAACCCCAGGAACATCTTGCCAGCTCGGTTTTGGATGTTGTTCAGAGGTCTACGTCTAATACAAAATCAAAAGGGGTATTGTTTATTAAAAGTTTGAACATACCTAGGGTAGTGTGGCATGAAATAGTCTTGGAGCCTTGAATAATTATATCCAAAAGTGAAAGTAAATGAACATGCACAGTTATCTTTATCTTGTTATATTGAAGAATATTCTGTTTCAGGTCTGAAGGAAAAAAAAAACAGAGCTGCACCAAAAATACAATAAATGGCATTTTGAAACGTCATCCTGGTGTAACTATGAGTGAACTTCTTTTATGGTTCATAAAGCATCGACAATTTAGCAGTGTCAATAAAATTAAAACTTTTATGGAGAGGCATGGACATAAGATTAACTAAAGGTATGCTCAAAGTAAATTATGATGCCATACAGCCGTTTTTAAAAAAAATCTCAGAGGAAGTGTTACATGTTAAGGGTTAGAAATATAGGACAAGCGGGTCTCAGTTGATGGCACCTGTCATATACCCTGTTTATCGACGACAATGAGAGATTTAGTATAACATGCATGCATAGGACTAGGAACATGTATAATTATTAGTGTCTCACGGAATCCCAAGCAGAAAAGAGAGGGGACTCGGACTAGATTTTTTCTATAAGGTTCCAAGGCCTATGTATGCACAGGCTCCAGAAATGCCTGAATGTTTCTATGCGCTGACTGAATTGAACAGAAATACTGAACTGGCTTCCAGAGTGCCATATAATTTAAAGATAATAAAAGTATATAAATATATACTGTTGAATGCACATATACAAGAAATCGTTAAAATCAGCTTACATGTACACAGTTCATATTTTGTAAATGTTTTCTTTGTTCTGTTTCTGTGTAAAATAATGTACTTGACTGAGCTGGATATGAACTTACAAGTGATAGTTAGAGATTGATTAGAAAATAACCATGAAATGTAGAACTAGTCTTCATATTCTATTTATTTTCTACATGCATTATAATTGCTCAATCCTAACCATCATTCCGGTTTTAGTTTGCTTCACGCTTATAGAAGCTTAAAATTTTAAGGGGTGTGGGATTGAATCTGCCAATTGGACACTTTTAGGTAATTATGTATAATATAGACTGAATGCTTACATCGAAAAATTGTTTAAAAGCATAATTTTGAGATAGCCTTTGGTTGTGTGTTCCTATTGAACAATTCCAAGTTTAATGTACAAGGCTGATATTTTAAATAAGGATCGGATTATATATAACTTTTATTGACATCTTGTATCATAACATGATTACATTAGTCATAACTATGAAAAAACTAAATATCTAAACTACAAATACTAACTAAGGCAAAAGTACAAAAATATATACGAGATATACAAAAACCCAAAATAAAGGTAGTATACATCATGATGAAAGGACAAGGTTACAAGGTTACATTTAAAGTGTGGTGCACATACCCTGCATTCTGACTACAAATTCTTAAATGAATGATAAATGAATTTTCCAAAGTGTCTTTGTAATGTTAAGTTTTTACTTGAAATGAGATTGACAAATAAATGTTCACTATAGAGGTCAAAGTTACTTAGAATTTCACGAGCCTTAGTGTACAATAATTGTCTATGCTCATCATTCTTTGTACAAGTTAAAAGGAAATGACATTCATCCTCTATATGTTTACAGGTATTGCATAATCTTTCCTCTCTAGGTTTTGGTTTTGGCTTTGCATGTCTTCCAGTCTCAATCGCCAATCGATGAGAACTCATTCGAAATCTACTTATCGCCAATCTATAATTTTTATTATCTAATTTCAAATATAATTCAATTCTAAAATCTTTTTTGAACAATTTATACGTTCTCAGTATAGGATAAATGTTCAAATCATTTTTCCATTTTTCTACAAATTGTAAGCTCCTTCCTTTTACTATTGATACATTTTAAATATCAGTAACTTAAATTAAAAGATAGGATATTGTGTACTCTTGAAACTTAGGCAGTATATAGATATAATACATAAACTATATTTTGGTATCAGTCTGCATAATAGTGCATGCTATTTTGCTAGTTTATTTATTCATTTTCATATTTTAAAATACCAATGAAATGCTGGCCTTTTTATTAATGAACTATTTTCAGAAAGAAACAGTGGATTTTTACCGAATACGAGTATGTAGCTATAAAAATATTTTGTCTAAAGGTATACATGTATTCATTTAAACACTATCAAAACTGAGAATTTATACAAAAAATAGGTAAAATTCTTGGTGTTATATAGATAAAACAGTATAGGCCTATTGTAGACCCGGTTGTCGACCCAAGTAATTGTAATGCCCTATCTGTAAAGTACCTGTTACATTAGCCACGTGGGCTCACTGTTCGCCACTGTGTGGCTAATTTTGGCATTGATTTTTGATTCATTTTTTGTATTTGGCGTGCTGGTGGATATCTTACTTTAAAACTATTAGATTTGCCCACAGTGTATCCATTGCCGTGACCCACCATTAGCCCCAACGTATTCACACGGTGGCGAATGGTGAGACCACATGGCCTAAGTCGGACGGCCCCATAACATGAGGTTGCTGCCTTATATTAGGTCTACATGTATCTTGTACACTTTGTCGTTGATGCAGTTAATACTGAATATTAGCTTTTTATTATCATACTCATTACATATGTAGAGATAACATTTTTATTTTATCCTACACAGCATTATCTAGCATGTGGCTCTGCCGCTGTTTGGTGTATATAATGTGTAGATGATACAGATGTATGTGCAATAGCACAAGTCATGTTTGATATTTGGCCATTTACAATGTCAAGCATTTGAATGAATACATGGTGTTGGTTGTGAAGTGTGTTTCATATTAGTTTATCTAAAGTGCTCACCATAAATAAACGACACCTGAATTTTCTATCACCATTTCCAGACCAATTTGATTTGAGACTTCGTACTTTCCAATAATGTCTAGATACACAGTTTTGTATATTTTACATTTTGTATACTCTCATCCACTGATGTATAGTCTCTTGAAAATTCTCTTCTTTTTAACATGGGAAATCCTCACTTCAGCAAATCCAGGTGTCATTTGTTTATGGTGAGCACTGTACATGCAGGGTGAGCCAAAAAATAACACAAACAAATCTCCATAACTCAGTCATCCAGTAAATCGAGTAGCCATGATTCAATTTTCCCCCGGCCTGGGGCTTCGGTTTATAACGTAGAGGGAGGGAGTCAAGGCAAATGGTATAAGGGGTTCGCAAGACAGAAAAGGTTTCAACAAATTACAGAAAATTGTATGCGTACTCATCAAGTACATGTAGCTAGTGTAGATGTTTGATTCATTGTTCCCGCGAAAATAGTCATCTTTCTGAGAGTGGGGTTCGTTCCAGGCCTTTGGTTTGTTGGTCTTTTAGAAAAGGGGTTGTTACCGGCCAGGTTTTTGTTTTATAAAGAAAGGGGGATCCACGGCGAATGGAGTTTACATGAGGCCCACAAATCCCCTCTCACTATGCCCATGCATCTTGAGCTGTAAGTTGACAATATCTTTGAAATGGCTCCAAAGATAAAAGTTTAGGGATTCATATCGAATGACCAATGAAACGTTTCCAATGAAAGAAAATTGAACAAGGTTTAATTATGCCAAATATTAGTTCAGATCCTTGTTGGAAAACGGAGTAATTAACATTTGTTTGGGTTACCCTTTTTGTCTCACCCTGTAGAAGTAAATGTAGCAGTAAACCAACTGACATATTTATTTATTTGCCATCTATCAACAAAACCTACTAGAAGTAGCACGTTATCTGATTGTTACGTTACGTGTTATACGTAATTGGGTAGACTGTAAGTGTGTAAGGCATACGTCACTGCTGTAAAAGCTTGTATTTTATTATAAAATAAAGTAAATCTTCCATTACAAAATATATCTGATTTGTGGCTCTTTTATCACTGGCAGATCTGGAAAGGCAAACATGTAGACCGTACATGTATTTTAAATGTCTCATATTTGAGGAATCAGTGAACTTTTAAACTGTAAACGATCAAGTTTTTCAGAAAACTGCTCAATTTTTTTAAAGGTGTGCCCAAATTATTTATTTTTGCACCCTCTCCAGGAATTGTATTCCTCGTGCTTTCAATAAAGAGAAGACGAAGTACCCATCTCTACATAAACTATTTTTTGTGTAATGGCTCTAAAATATGATTCGCAAAACTTGTGCGCATGCATTGCTTTCAGTGAGAAGCCAGACCCTTTCCCACCACCTGTTAATGAAAAAACAAACATGCAGAGATCTGTTGTTGAAGAAATGGCTGTGCTTAGTTTTTGGCTCGGTCTGTGTATAAGTGGAAATTCTATCTGAATTCTTGCGCACTTTGGCAGCAACATATCTGCAACTGTTTTGGTAGCCAAGAATCCCTTGCAGTATTCTTCAGGATATATTCCAGAGAACAATATGTCTTGTTAGGTTAACTCAAGACGAAATGAATGTGAAAAGATTTGACAACTGGGTCGTTTTTACAGGAAAGAAATATGGCGTAAACTGAACAACCTGCTATATTAAACTAGTTGGACCGCTTCACTGGCGGATCCAGAAGCTAACAAGGTTTGGGGGGGCACATTCAAATTCCCCCGAAATCCCCAAATTAGGCCCTTTTTAAAATTGAATGGCCCATTTCAGGGGCGGATCTGGGAACCAACAAGGGGGGGGCCAAACGTGTGGTCTGAGAAAAGAAGTACCGCGGAAAAAAATTTTGGGCCCCTAAAACCAAAATGTGGGCCCAAATTTTGAAATTTTGATGCCCATTTTCTTCAAAATTTGGCCTAAAATTAAAAAATAAGGCCTTAGAAGGCCCATTTATGACCAAAAAGGCCCACTTTTTGGGGCAATAAGGCCTTTTTTGGCTCAAAAATCTTTTTGGGCCCAATTTTTTTTTTCTGGGCTCACCCGAGGGGGGCCCGGGCCCCTGCCCCCCCCCCCAGATCCGCCAGTGCATTTTTGAAATTAGGCCTATATAGGCCCTAAAATGCCACGCAATGCCAAAAAGGTCCATTAATAGAGGCCTTACAATTTCTTGCCCCTTCCCCCGGATCCACCAGTGCGTTTGGAGACATTTCATCTCATCTCGCTCCTTTAGCATTAAGATCAACTCAAGTCTAATGATTCATATTCTCTTGAACATATGTCTTTAATATTGCATGGAGGGATTTGAAATTGAATGCAAGGGAGTGGAGAGTTCCTTAGAACTTGAGAACATCACGCAGTAAGCCATTCTCCCTAAAATGTATCTTTTCTTCGTCTATCTCTGCAGACTGCAAATGGTCCAATCGCACTACTTTCAATAAAGCAATTCTTCCGCGTATTACTATCAACGGATTAAGTGTTACTATGAGTTGATATAAGGATATCCAAAGATCTTGGTTAGC